GTCGAAGTACTTCTGAGGCACTTGAATCATTTGACTACATCGCCACTCATGGTATGATAAACTTTTCCTCTACATTCAAAGATTTATTTATATCTACTTTACATAGGTGGAAGAAATATTGCTTTTGTAATTTTACTTTTTTTTGTTGTTGCTGAGAATGAGGATTAACTATTTGGATTGATGGGAGGATATTTACTGCTATTCAGCATTTTCACTCTAGGTTAATAATTAACTTCGAATGAAGTCAGCACTTCGTTAATTCACGGTTATTGTTGAGGTTGATGGGCAGTGCTTTACTTTGGAGGTTTTAGTATTTGAGCCTTCCTTTAACATGTTATTGTTTTCTAGTCTCTTTAAATCGGTATTTTTATTGTCAGCATCAGTCATGCTGCTGGGTAAGTGTGTATGTCCTTTTTTGAAGTATATTTTACTTGGCCATTAGTAACTTATATAACTTTATCCAATAATCATGCTTCAGTTAATATTCTTTAGTAGATTGCTTGCACTACTAAAACTTGTTTAAACTTTAGTTAGGGAACTTAAAATTCTTTGCTTGTGTCATGCTCTAAAAACTAGAAAGGATGATATTCTTGTACTCATATTTTGTTTATGTGGGTTTTTGATAAATGTAGGCAATTTCAGTTTAACTGAGAGGTTCAGGTTAGTAGCGAAGTATCCTGGAGAAGCAGCTATGCGTTTTGTCCCAAAGAAACTAAAGAAGATGCTCTTATCAAAAAAAAAAAAAAACTAAAGAAGAGGCACAACATTACTGATGAGAAAGCAACCTTGTATGAAGCAGCCGAAACATGGGTGGATGCCTTGAAGGGCCGGGATTATCTTGGTCTGTTTCAGTTTACATTCATGCATAATATAGTGTGATATTGACAAAATGCATGATATGTTCTATTTACGAGCATCTTCTATGTGTAATTACCAGGTGGTTCAGAACCCAATTTAGCCGACCTTGCTGTTTTTGATGTTCTGAGGCCTAATCGGTATCTGACGTCTGGTAAAGATATGGTGAAACATACACGAATCGGTGAATGGTATAGTCGGATGGAAAATGCTGTGGGAGAGCCTGCTTAGAATTAAGGAGTAAGACGACAATTTGGGCTGCTGGAAAAGAAGTTCCAGACCGATAAATGGGAATTTGTGAGCAACAGAGTACTTGAAAATAATAATGCAAATAGTGAGACTTCCCACTATAGGCAGGAGTATGACTAAGGATATGTCTATGAATAATTTACAGCCAATGAGATTACTGCTATTTTATTAAAAAAAAACTGGTGTGAATAATTTTACAGTTCTCGTAGACTGTAAATACTAAAAAACTGGTGTTTTTTTATGAATAATTTTACTGTTATAATAGACTCTAAATGGAAACCAATAGCCGTGAGCGTTTGATCAAATCGAGTTAAAAAATATTTGATTATTTGAGTTCATGGTTCTTATTTTACAACTTTAAGTTAACTTGAAAATTTTTCGAGAAGAGTTTATAAAATTTGAGTCGAATTGAATTTTCAAATTTCTATTTAAATTTAATTTTAAATATTTATAATTTTATTATATTATTTTATTTCAATTTAAATAATTGTTTATGATTATATGTAATATATATATATATATATATATATATTTTCATATGTGATATACATATATTATACTAATTCGAGGGACTTAGTGGTGGATCTAATTTTTTTTTGAGAGTGGATATATATACATACATTAGTAATATAATTTTTCTAATACGACCATATTTCAATATGGGCACTATAGAATTTCAGGGTGGACACATGTGTATTCATAAAAGAAAACTTTGAGAATTAAAGAAAAAATTTGAATTCTAAAAAAATTCAGGGTTGGCATGTACCCACCCTATCATCAATGTTATCACTGGAGGGATTAGATTCAAACTTAAACATCATTCCACTAATTACTAAAAGGTAGGTAATTCTGCAGGTAAAGCCATCAACCAAATGTGGAGATTTAACATATTTGTTAACGACTCTACATTGTTTATTAAAATAACAATTGCATAGTCTAGGCGGGATAGTGAATGGAGATACTAACCATATCGGTATGAAAAAAATCTTAAACTCTTTTTTTAATAAATATATATATGAAATTTACCCTCCTATAAATTAATTATTCGATTTATTTATATGGTTTAGCTGTTGTTAAATTTCATAATTGACTTGAGTTTGAATCCTTAAAATAATATTCTTTACTTTTTTTTAGCATTAACTACCATATAAGTTAAATATAAAAACGTGTACTCCAGTTATGAACGAAGAGTTTGACTTGATTGTAAGTATTCGCTCAACTCTTCCCCCAAGTCACAAGTTTGATCCCTCCTCAAATACTCTTTTTAGTAACTTTTTATCTTATTCGACAATGATACATATCACTATTTAATGAGAGAATTAAATTTATTAAATTAAATTAAAATTATGATCATATTAATAGAATATATAAGTTGTAGATACCCATTTTCGTCCGAGACATTAAAAGATTTTTATATAGTATATAATATATATAAAATAAATTCAAATGTAGTTTTTTTAAAGTATATAGTACATGTTTTAAAAACGTATAATATAAGGTTTTGAAAACATTTTTTAGAAAACATATATTATATAGTTTTAAAAAAAATATAATTTTGAAAACATATAATATATAGTTTTTTTAGAAAACACATTTTTGAAAACATATATTATATAGTTTTGAAAAACAATTTTTTTTAAAACATATATTATATAGTTGCGAAAAACAATTTTTGAAAACGTGTATTATATAGTTTTGAAAAAAAAATTGAGAACATATATATTATGGTTTTGGAAAGCAATTTTTTGAAAACATATATATTATATATTTTTGAAAATAATTTTTGAAATCATATGTAATATATAGTTTTTAAAAATGATTTTTTTCGGAAACCTATATAATATATAATTTTTGAAGACATGTAATTTTTTAGTTTTTATTATATATTAATATTATTTATTTTTATTCTATTGTTATTAATTTTATTTATTTATCTATTTCATTTTTATTTTTCAGGTCCAAGAGTCCATTCGGGTTCAATGAAGCCCAAACGAGCCATGCCAGCCTAACCCATCAAAGTAGGCCCAGTTAGAGGGCATGACCCAGCCCAAACCGGTTAGGGTTTTGTATCAAAAGAAAGGCGTCGCGCGAAGAAGCAAATAGTGATTGTGGAGGCCACGTGCCAATGACTGGTCAAACAAGGAACAGCCGGCGTAGTGCACGAGAGCATGAAATCCAGTTGAAAACGAGATTACAACAATCCACAATAGCCCTAACGGGGGAACGACCCTGAAACAACCGGGAATGACTCCGAAACAATTGGAAACAGCCCCGACAGGGGGCCTATAAATACCAGCAGCCGAATACCACAAAGAAATACGAGAAAAATACACAGAAAACCGAAGCAAACCAAGCAAAGCAACGAGCAAAAAATTGTTTTGAATATACAAAAGTCATAACAAAAATTTAAACTTTTCGTCGAAGGCTGCTAGGTGGAGAGGACCACGGTCGTGAGGAAACCAAAAGACGTCGAAAATCATCGGATCTTGTCGGAAAAAGGTAAATATCGAAGCTATTTTCTCAGATCTACGACGGAGAGGGCATTCTTTGAACATTTGGGTTTCAGTTTTGGGTTCACTGGATCAAGGGATTATTTTGGGTTGGTTTGATTTTTTTCGGCGGCCGAAGCGGTGGTCGACAGCGGGCGGTACAGTGGGGGTTTCATCGGAGGTGGATCGGCCATTAGCCGGCGGGGCTTTGGTTGAGAGAGTTTTGAGAGAGAGGGGGGTGGTTTTTGGGTGAAATGAAATAGAATGATATTTTTAAGATTTTTGGGCTATTTATATAGGGATCAAAGGGTAATTAGCAAATAGTTTAATTATTTCTGCAGTACCTGAACTTTTGATGCGTAATTCGTTTTGGTCACCTGTTGTAAATTTGCTTATGAATTTCGAATTTATTCAATTTAATTTTGGTTCAATTTTCTTGTATTTTACAAATTGACCCCTCCTGACTTTTTATTTCTTCTTGCAGCATCCAAATAATGCCAATTAGGTCCTTTATTTTAAATTTGTTACATTTAAACCCTTTTAATTTAAAGTTTTCTTTAACTTTATATTTTCTTAATTTAATTTTTTTACTTTAATAATTAAAACTGATTTGATTTATAATTTTAGGTCAATTTCAAATCGTTCAATGGTCAGTAGTTCGAATCAAACTTTTAAATTTTAATTTAACTTTTAATTTTCGCACTTAAGACAACCGGAAAATTAAATTGTTACCGAAAGGACAGTGCAAGGGTGCTAATACTTCCTTGATTGTAATCGAATCTTGAATCCGACATATTTTTGGTAAAACGAAGATCATGTAAGGTGGTAAATTAAGATGTCCGCTCAACCTAATTTTTTATAAAAAATAATAAATGATCGGTGGCGGCTCTTACATGTTTTATTTAAGTCGAAGCCCGATTCCGGGTCCATACAAGGGATGGTTACGACATAAGTATTGAGATTAAATGTGTAATTACATCAATGTTGTTAATTGTTATATCAACTTAACATCATTTAAAAAGTTGCCATAAAAATAATTAAATAATTTAATTTACAAAATTAAAAGATCAATAATCAAATTTGAATCTCTCTGTAACTAGTTGTCATGGATATAATTTATCATGTATTATATAGGCTTACATGCTGGTAATATTATTTTAAAAGTAATATTCCATTTTGTAGTAAATAACAAATTTCTTTAAACTTCAGTAATTAGCAGCCTGATAATTACTGAGCCTTAAAAGCGTCATTAGCCCACACAGCCCAACATTGGCTGCATCTTATCACCCACCGGCTGTCCAGGCCAGCTGTTCTTTGGTTTGGGCCTTACCCATCTAAGATCGTCCCATGCGTCTAGCATGAACTTAAATCTGAAGGCACCACCGATGCACATCTATTTCCCCCCAATTCCGACTCATCGTCGACTCTGACTCTGCATCCAATAGAAGATGGGAATCGGGAAATATAGAAGGGGGAATAAAACCTAGCCAAATTAGCCGTCCCATCTCGCTCTCGGCAAGCACAAAAGAGTTTTCGTTAGATCAGCGATGCAACAAGGAGATTTCAGCTCCTATTATCAATATCCTTACAATTCAAACCCCAATCCCAATCCCAATCCTAATCCCATCCCTATACCGAGCCCGAGCCCGAACCTCAATCCAACACCAGCCGAATTTCACCGACCACCTTACGCATCCGCGCCTCCTTTTAGCTCCAGTTACACCTCCTCCGATTACTCCGTATATCCTTCAAATTACCCTCCCTATTCCCAAAATGTTGATGCTGTCCCTCCCGCTGCTTCCTCTTATACACCTCCACCGTCAGCCACAATAATTCCGCCGGCGATAACTCCACAATCGTCTTTCAATCAACAACCCATTGCGCCACCATCGGTCACCGCATCTCCTTCGTTCCCGCCTTATGATTCTCAAGTTCCTTATCAGCCACCGACTTCCCAACCTCATTATTATCAGTTGTATGATCAGCACCAGACGTCTTCCAGCTATGGCCCTGCTCCGCCAAACCCTAACCCCACGCCTAATCCACCTTACTATTCAAATCCGTATGGCCAAGTAGGATCATTGGCATCATCTGTTCCTCCCGCTTATGAAAACACTTTCGACAATCCGTTGAAATTCGATCATGGCGGCGCCGGTTATTTCGATGATAAATTTGGAGGAGGTTATAACCTCAGCAGATCAGATTTTGGACCCGATCTCTATGGTAAGCGATCGGATAACTATTCACGATATGATGACGATGGTTGTTACGGTGACGGGGTTTATGCTTATCAAGAAGGAAAGGTGGAGCCTTATGGGGCACGTGGTTCTGCTCGAAAATCGTCGAGTTGGGTTCAATTTGATGATTATGGGCGGTCTATTAATTTCCCTTCTGCGAAAGACTCCTCTGGTGGGTCAGGTTCATCTGCGGGTAAGATTTTGAAGGCGGTGCCTAAGGTTGAGACCCAGCAAGATGAAAAGAGTGGTGTCCAGAAGTTTCGGGTTAAGTTGTTGTCTGAAAGTGGAGCACATGGCCCCATGGATGTACTTTGCCAGGTAACTTTTAATTAAATAACATTGGTGTTGATTTAGATTTGGTTGGTGAGATGATGTTTCTGGGAACTTAATTCATCTATGTTGTTTATATTGTTGAATTGTGGGAATTTAAACTGGATGGTTAAAACGCTTTGTAAGGTTCTTCAGATTTTAGTCTGACAAATCCTATAGTTCTGGATGATTTATCAACATTGTCAGTCATATTGATATTACTAATGGATACTTGTGTTTTTTAGCCCTTTTGTTTATTTCTCCAGCTCTTTGAACATGATTCAGCTTATCTTTTGGGTATCAGATTGGTTTAGATGGTATTCGTATGCTTGAGCCTAGCAGCAGTCGAACATTGAGAATATATCCTCTTGAGAACATCACAAGATGTGAAGTGAGTTGCCTAGTGCTTTTATTTCCTTCCTCCCCCTGCTCCTTCCTCAACGTTTTTCTTTGTGGTTTTCTTTCTTTGAATGATGTGGGCATTGTAATAAAAATAAGTATATTTTCTTCTAATGTAGGTGATGGACTCATCTACCCTGGCATTCTGGTCCAAGAGCTCTGTTGACATTGAACCAAGGCGCATCAGGTTGCAATCAAACAGTTACACAACAAACACCCTTCTGGATATTGTAACAGCTGCAACTGTACAGGTCAGTCTTAGATAGTTGTAATTTTCTTATTTTCTTGTTAGAATGAACTGTTTTGTATGACTTCATTCTATTATGGTTGTATACGTTTTTCTGTTCTTGTGGTTAAGTGTATTTTTGATCCATTCCTAAGATATTTCAACTCTTCAGTTAGAAGAGAAGTTTCTCTATATAGTGTTGTTTTTATGATTCTTAGTGTGGCATGTAGAATCATACTTAGATGGATTCAGCATATGTGCACAAATACACATACTTAAAAGACTCAATGAGGACTTGGTTATTAATTCACTTATTTGCAGAAAGATGCTTGCACATATGTGTTCAAAATCAGCTAATCTGTATTCAGTAATCAGGCAGTTCTATTTTTCACTTTCACTGATTTATACTTCTGTTTCATTTTTCACTTTCCATTTTCCATAGTTATAGTAAACTTATCCGTAGCTTACCATCTGTCCGAGTCTTAAACCCCGTTTGATATTTAAGAGGGTTTGAAGGAACGACACAGTGAAATATCATTGAGCATCATTTGTTATAGCTTAAGAAAATATAATCTGGAAGAATAATCTTGTTTCTCTTAATATGGCCATTATGATTGAAGTGTCATCAGAAGAGAGTGCAATTGCAAGATATATTTTCGTGGAGCATTCAAAATTTTTAATAATAAGCCTTTTATTCATACGAAGAATACGGAGGCTTGTCATTCTACTGTATCCAGGTTCCTGTAGGCTGTAAGCATATGTGCATTGAATGTGTTTTCAATTTTTTTCTTCTGAAACTTTGTTGGTGAATTACCCCAATTGTCGTACATGTATGAGTTGATTATTTTTCTTTTCTTTTCCTTTGATTGGTACATCAACATGTGTAGAGCTTTGCATATGTACGTATCTTGAATCTTGATGACTTTACTTTTTCATATTTTGATTGCAGATCAAGGAGATGGGTTGGAAAAGTCGGCCTCCTGAACCTCTAAAGACTGCTGATCTATCTGCAGAAAAGAAGAGAGGATTTGCTGACTGGATGAACATTATAAAGCCTGGTGTTGAGGAGAAAGATCATTGGGTAAAAATTAGAGTTCCAAAGATGTTTTTCACCCTTTCACCTGGATATTGCAGGTCAAATAAAAGGATATTTAAGAAAGCTAATAGATGGCTTATCTCGATATTCTTTTCCTCGCTAGGTGCCTGATGAAGCTGTTTCAAAATGCACTGCATGTGCAACAGATTTTGGGGCTTTTGTACGGAAGGTATGGCAGCCCATCTGTTTTTGGAAAAGATACCCTGCTTGTGTTCTTTCACAATTTAAGCTTAACGCATCCTTCTCTTTTTCTATTTCAGCACCACTGCAGGAACTGCGGGGATATTTTCTGTGATAAGTGTACCCAAGGTAGAACTACTCTAACTGCTGATGAGAACGCTCAACCTGTCAGGGTTTGTGACCGGTGCATGGTATGCTTATCAATCAATTTCTTACCTCCATTTTTACAATCTGTGGTCTCTCAGTTTTCACAACTTAGCATGACAGAGTATTAAAAAAAATCAGGACGACAGATTGTAAGCAAACTTCGTTGAACATGTTGAGCGTCTATATTTCTATAGCGTACTTTATTTTGAAGTCTATCTTTAGGTGTCTGACCAATGCAAGAGCCATGAAAGAGTCTAATATCTGTTTTTTTGTGGTGTAATATTGAAACGCTTTTCTTCTCTGCCCTTTGAAGTGGTTAGACAGCTGAATTTGTTTAGGCAGTTCAGGGGAAGGTTGATGCAGGGAAGAATGAGCATATTGTTCATAGTTGTTTGCTGAATGATGAAAGAAATTTTAGTTGTTCATAGTTCCTTCCATATTTTGAAAATTTTTCTTGTGAAAAGATCATTTTATGTAGAAACCTACCAGTCTTAGTTCTTTTTCTTCTGTTGTAGGCTGAAGTGACTAGGAGGCTGAGTAATGCTAAGGAAGCAGCAAGTAAACCTACTGGGTTACAGAGTCATGAGGATCTTGCTAGGAAGCTTCAGGTATGCGTCATTTTGGAAGTATATGATTTTAGTGTTGATCTTAAATTAACTTAAGTTGAACTAGATGAATTACTTATTTGAATTGTCCAATTATGATGACTTATGACAGGAGGAGATGGGGAAAAGTCGCAGTGCATTATCAGGTAATTTCTTGTACCTTCAGTGTTGACTGTGTTGTATGATATCGTGAAAGAAGTTACTTGTACAGACGTGTATGCACAATATCATATTAGTAAAAATAAAATGGAAGAGCTTTTAAATGTGTCATACTCATGCTGTTGCTTGAATAATAGAAACTCACTTTTAACTCCTATGACTGATGTGGCTGGGTGAAAAGTCAGGGTAGGCTATGTTGTACACATTTAATAAATGGGGAAATATAAAATTATGTCGATCTTTCTTTAAATGGTTTCACTTTGTAGGGACCAAGTCCAACGGATCTGGTAGACAGATGAAGGAGGTTGCCTGTCCTACATGCACTGTTCATTTGCAGGTCTGTAATTCGTGTGCCACACCGATTGAGGACCTCAAGCTTATTGTCAATTCTTCCTGTAGTTTTGCTGAATTTGAGAATTTCTGCAGGTACAAGTTCCCAGCTCAGGCTCTGAGACCGTTGAATGTGGGGTGTGCCAGCATCCTTTCCTTGTTAGTGCCCATTGATCCTGGGCTTTTGTCACCAGCAAAGGCTCTTAGTTTTCTCAATCAATTTCTTGTTGAGGTTGTGATTATGATAAACCAATATGGATTAGATTTCTGTGTTTTCATTTATTTTTCAAAACCTGTGGGACACTTTGGTCTTCTGTTCAAGTTATTGTGCATATGAAAATTGCTTGTTAATCTCGAGTCATGCCTGTTTATAAATTTTACAGATCCTTTTTAACTTATAATCATGAATAGAGTGCTTCCTTGTGCAACGGTTGCGCTTGTTTTCTTGCATGTTTTATGCTCTTGCAATGGCTGGGTTTGTAAGTGTGAATAATATCTACTTTAGTAACATGCATAAGATGACAGCCCCGTACTGATGCTGTTGAACAAAGGCTTCATATATGGTGTAGCCTGGGACTCGTGTTTGAAGCCTTTGTCAAATCCCTTAAGAAATTGTTATTGTTAATGGTATGATCATCAGCAACCTACAATTCCAACCATATGATAAAATCGGACTATACATTTTAGCATTGTAAAAAGCTCTGGCCTTCCGTATCCAAGCTTTAAGCAACTCATATTACATGACAACGCGAGAAACGACAATAATTTCACAATTTACAAGTCTCACGATTCGACGTCTACCGTATGGGAAGTTGAGAACGGTAAATTGGCATTGCTGCAAAATATTTGTACGCTCCTTTTGGTTGTGGATTGCGGCAACTTCTAAAAGACCACCTTTCAATTTCGATTCAACATCAAATCTTTAGCTGATTAACTACGATCTTCATTGGGCAAATAGTTTGTTGACCAATATCATAAAGATGGGCAGACGGGAGACTTCAATGACCGTTTTCTGGTTTGGTCGACAACAATTGAAACTAGAGATATTAATTCTCTTCAATTTGATAAGCATTTGCAGAATTGCATTCCTACTTCCAACTTTTAATATCATCAGTTGGATGGACCAAAGGCTGGTTTAATGACGATTTTTATAGTTTAGTTATAAACCTTATTTATTCTTAAAGTTTTAAGCGTCCCAACTCCAAAATTAAATGGTTCAAATGTGGAAGTTAGCTTCTATTAAGAAGCATCTAGAATTACGATAGGCAATCTTAAATTAAACATCCCATGAATAGTGCAACGGAAGGAGAAAATATATGCATGCAATATCATTTTTAGGTCTAAGACTGCAATGTCTTGTAGTTGCATGGACATCCGATTACATATGGAATTGAGTTGAATCAGACTTCTTACAGATAAAAAAAAGACACATTATTATTTGTTTCGTTTACAAGTTCTAAATTTAAGATCTTACATATAACCTAAGAACATTAAATATATTACCAATAAACAAATAGATTACATGCAATAACTTAGTTACACTTAAACATCCAATTAATCTAATACAATTGACAACTTGGCACCAGGACGAAACCAATCACTCGAGCTCTAATTTCCAAACTACAAATCTATTTCATAAAGATTCTATTTGTCTTGATGAAAATAAGTAGGGTTTATCTTTTCGCTTTTTTCACCTTTTCCCATCAAAGCATAGCTCTTTTTTCCAACTTTTACAGTTGTATTATAACAATCTTTCCATCTGTCACAAATATGCTGGCAAAATTTCTGTTGTGGCTTCAGTCATCTTAAACGGGAGTTCAAATTTCTGTTCGGCAAATGCGCTTGAAATCTAATTTAAGCTTTGGATTTTTGTACTCATGTATGATTCAAATAGAAGGAACCCATCATTAGTAAGAGCTCCAAAACGTTGGACCAAGTTGAAGCACATGTATGCTATAACTATCGCTCGTTTGGTAAGTGTTATTTGTTTCACTGGTTCTGTTTACAATTTATAATTGTTCCTCTTTATAATATACTAATGTTTAAAATTTAAATACGAGTTCTCTCCACAAAATAAATAATTTTTTATCAATACATTTAATACTTATTAGTATGTTTTAATACATAATAAATTAACTTCGTTTAATCCCAAAATTAATAATTTACTTCTAGCCCTAAAAAAAAGAAAATCCAGCCCCTCACGTATTGATTAAAAATTCAAGTCTCGTTACTAATTATATTAAAATAAATCGGTTAAAATCGTTTTAGACCCTCAATGTTTGAAAAACATCGACCTTCAAACGCTTAAATAGATTGGAGTAAATAATAATAAAATTTGCATCGTCTTCATTTAGTGTTTCTGTAGTATCTTTGGTTACACTAAAACAATTGATATTCCAAGACATTTTTAATTATTCAAGTTCTGAAAATGACTGCATTGTTTTAATTGCATTTTTGATGGCATCGTACTGATTAATGAAGGTTTTAAATAGATATAATAAATAAATTTTGACTAATATCAAAATCGATTACATTATTAATCGAATTGGAACTTCAATGAATAGATATATATAATTAATTAACATGATCCCAGTATTAAATTTGACATGTGATTCTCGAAATAGAATCCTTCTCTTTAATATATCTGGGTGGAGTTGGATGGAACAGTGTCATTCGCATGTATAAAAGAGGCAGGAAGGACGACTGAGAACACAAACCAATTTTGATCAAAGTTGAGCATCACATCCTGAATGGAAGTGATATTCTCTTTGGCTTCCACAACCGTTTGGCTGTCTCATGTGTTGGTGATATCTTCACTCTTGATATGCAAAACGACGGCATTGGTAAAGCTGCCACCAGATGAAACGGTTGCTGCTATCATATCGTTTGGGGATTCAATTGTTGACTCCGGAAACAACAACAATCTCCTCACTCTTATCAAGTCCAACTTTGAACCCTACGGCCAAGATTTTGGAGGGGGTGTACCGACAGGAAGGTTTTGCAACGGAAAACTCCCTTCCAATTTAATAGGTACTAATTTACCCAATCTCTCTTTCTCACCTATACCATAATTTCGGTACCTTAATAAAATATTCAAATCAACACTTGAATATTTAAAAATTTGTAATTTCATCCTTAACTTTCTGAAACTTTTCAATTTCAACAACCCAACTTGATAAACTTGGAATTTGATCCCAACTCAACATTTAAACTCAAAAAATCAGCACATAAATAAAATTTCCAGCAATATATTATTTTACCCAAATGGTACTTTCACATTTAAAAATTTGAAATCAAGTCCCTATATTTCTTAGACTTTTTTAATTCCACCCGTAACTTTTACCTAACTTAAAATTTGGTTCCAACCATTTTCTAACATCCCTCAAATCTTCTTAAAATTCCAATTCGATCCGATTATCTATTTTCAATACTGAACTTTATCGCTTTATAACTTTTAACACAAATCTCATACTGAAAATATGTTTCCCACAAAATCATTGTTTTAGGCCAAACTTTTCATTTCCGAGCTAAAATCTATAACTTTTTAAAATTACCTTTTTGATCCCTGGACTTTTACAAAGTTTATACTTTATCTTTTAAACTTTCAAATTTTATATTTTAATCACTAGTAAAAATTTGGGATATTACAGATATTTCATAAGTTATAAAGGATAGTAAAAGGGACAGAACAATTTGAATAGAAGATAGCAAGTTTCCGAGAAGAAATAAAAAAAATCTCATAATTGCACAAGTATTCAATGTCTATTATATTTCATCTTATAAACTTTATTTTATTTTATTTTATATGGATGCATTTAATGTGTGATGTTCGCAGTTCGCTGTAGATTAATCCTGCTTAGTAAATCCATACCAAAAGGTGGTCTAAAAGGATCAGCCGAAAAAGTAAAACGGATTATTCGTTGAGCCAGCGTAATGGCTGAGGTAAAGAACCTAGTATTTTCAAAAGCCATGGGACCAACCTCACCCTCCAATCATTACGCATAGAATTGTCCAATCCAAACCACAGCTTGTTTTAGTGAGCAACAAAATCTTCTAATTCTCATTACCAATTACATCATAAGACAGCTATTGTGCATTAAAAGATAAGAATACAATATCAATGATTGTCAGAGATATCTTAATCTTAAATCAGAAGCCTGAAACTGAACTGTGGGCAACCTATAGTCTATTTGTGGAGCTTTGGTTCCCGGTCCCACTGGATTTATTAGCCACTGACCCACAAGGGCTGGGCCTCAGCTATTCTGTGCCTCTCCTTTCACCCTACAGCTAAATTTTGATTGGAGAAGAAAAATATTCATTGAAATTTAAAACGTGGAAAGGGATAAATACAACAAAGCTATAAGACGGGTGGAGTGGAGATTAAGGTTAGAAAAATAGTAGTAAATTGAGATGATAATTATTGAAAAATAGTAAGTATTAAATTGAGATGATAATTATAGCTAACTACTAATGACTTTATTAAATTAAATTATAAGAAATTCATTTTAATGCAAAATACGGATTTAACCTGAAAAAAAGAAGCAAATTCTCTATGGAAAATTTAAATCGATTTGACTTTGATCTTATTAAGAAAAATATGGATAGTCAACCATGTAGAATCTTAATGAGGAAAATAGATATATACCTGTGTCTCTTTCCCTTTGAATGCCTCGTCTTCCTCTTAGAAGATAAAGATGGAAAGCAAACATAAAAGAGAGACAGATATACAAACGATGGATTCGAGAGGATGTATAAGATTAAAGTTTTATTTGAAAGGACAATGAGTTTAGTTTTGGTGAGATTAAAAAAGGGTAATATTAAATTTTAATATTAGAGGTGTGAGATTAAAATCGATAATAATATATGTATTTGGATTCAATTCAATCACAAATGTAACGATAAAATGAATGGTGGTGAAAAACTAAAATGACCAATAAAGATATTACACTAATGTATAGAATCATTATATATTTAGTTATTTATACAAATATCACAATGAAACAAGATTAAACTTTTTACAATTTCATGTATTTTTATAATGTTTAAATTTCTTTAATATTTTGGATTCACTTAAAAATATATATATTATTTTATACTAAAATTAAGAGATTTGATGAAATAGGTCTCAAATTAAAAAAAAAATCAAGAGATTTGGATTTTGACAGGCGGAAGCTCCCAAAACAAGAGAAAAAAGGGGAAGGGGGGGGGGAAGAATCTTAAATCAACAGTTTCCTTTGAACATCTTTCATCTCTGGGAACCTTGATGCCCCACTCAGTGATGGTAACTTGCAGATCACACGGGCCATATTTATTTCAATAGAATCCATCTCTCCTATTGCAATTCGTTTGGAAGAATCCCAACTCCCTTATGGCCATCCATGGTCTCCTTTGTTCCAGTCTCT